ATGTATATATACATATATATATATATAATAACCAACTGAAAAAACTAGTGGGAGAGGTGCACAGGATTGAGAGAAGATGGGGAAGTCATCTTGCATTTGCCATTTTCATCCCACATCTTCCAGAAGTGAAAGCTGATCCATGTAGAAAGTGATAGAACAGTTACTATTTGGATGCCCAAATTGTGAAATGGTGACCAATTAGGACAAACATTTTCTAAGTGCCCCTCAGACCTTGCGAATAGGCACATATACTTTTTCTTGAGAACTGAAGTCTCCATATTTGGAGCATGTATGGCAATGCTTCATTGGTCGCCCCCCCCATGCCTGTGCTCTTCTTCTAGATGTGACATATTCTCAGTTCATGGCACCCGACAGGGCTCAAAGGTTGTAACCCACTGGACCCTCCTGACAGTGAGGGCCATGGACTTAACCACCTCTATTTTAGCTGCATGAGAGCCTTTTTGCCTTTCTTCTAGGCTCTGGGTTATTTTTGCCCTGGGTGCTTCTAGATCAGAAACCTAGATGAATATCTGAGCTCTGATTTTTGAGAGGATTGTTCTGAGCCAGGATTTTTTTTGCCCAAGGTGAGAGGTCTAGTCCAGCCAAGCATGTTGCCAGGATGGTTGTTTACTGATGCAAAGGCCAAAGCCCTGTGCCCTGAGAATAACTCAGTTCTAGGGGAACCAATATGGCAAGTTTGGCACGTGGCCCTGCAGGAGGAGGGCAAGTCCAATAGGGCCTAGCCAGACCCCAGGAAGGCTGCTACAGGGGCAGCCGTTTCTTGGTAAGGTAAGGAGGTAAGAGCCTGAGGAAGCCCTGCAGAAGGGGAAAGTGCTATGACCTGCTGGGGGTCTGGATGGCTTTGTTTGTTTTGTTTTTTGTTTTTTTTTTGTTTTTTTTTTCATGTTGAGACAGGGTTTCTCTGTGTAACAGCTCTGGCTGTCCTGAAACTTGCTGTGTAGACCAGGCTGGCCTCGAACTCATAGAGATTCACCTGCCTCTGCCTCCCAAGTGGCTAGGAGTAAAGGTGTGAACCACCACACCCAGCCAGATGTTTTCAGAAAGGCAAACCTTAGCTCCTTTATTGGGGTGTGGTAGCAATACACTAGGGAGCAGAGTGTCAGCAGAGTCACTAGTGACCTGTGGTTGCTTTGAACTTTCTCCTGTGTGCCCTGTCCTGGTCACTTCCACTTTGATTCCTCTTATCCTTACTCTCTTTTACCTGTCAATTTCTCTTTACCTCCTTCCCTCCCTCACCCCTTTTTCTGCTCTCCACTGGGCCTCCTCTCCTCCTCCTATGCCCAGGAACCCCAAGGGTTGCGGAAACACCCTGCCCACTCAACCTTGACAAGGAGTGCAGCTGCTCCTTTCCATGGCTCAGTCCAAGCCTGAGCCACTGAGGACTTCCGGGGACTTAGATCATGGCAGTGGCACTGGGCAAGTGGCACTAGGCAAGAAGTAGGCGGGAGGGTCAAGCAAGAAGTGGTGATGGGCCCTGATCTCTTGTGCATATGAAGCAAGAGTAGCTACCTATGACCCCAAATTGCCTTACTTCAAGTAGGTTTCCAAATGGTTTAGAGAGGCAGTGAGAGCTGGCTGGTGCTGGTGGCAGAAGGGCCCCACTACTCTCTTTCCCACCTAACAAACCCTCTAGCTCTGGATGCTCACAATAGGCAGGACAATGGGGACTGGTCTAGAGGATCAATCTAGCATTTGTGAGTCACAGAGTACACTGAATGAAGATGGGAAGAAGCGTCCATTTTGTCTGAACCAGTCCCTTGACCTCTTCTTGCCTTGTTCTCCTCAGGTGTTCACATTTAGCCTCTTTCCCACCACCACCTTGCCTCACCTCAGCACTGGGATCTTAGGTGGCCAACTGTCCCTAACTGCGACTGAGTCAAAGCTACACCTGTGAGAAGGCCTGCCAGACAGGATGGGGGACATGGCAAACAGTTCCATCGAGTTCCACCCCAAACCCCAGCAACAGCGGGAAATGCCCCATGTGGGTGGCTTTGGGTGCACACTAGCAGAACTGCGCAACCTCATGGAACTCCGAGGTGCCGAGGCACTGCAGAAGATTCAGGAAGCCTACGGAGATGTCAGTGGGCTGTGCAGGAGGCTGAAGACCTCACCTACTGAGGGTAAGTTCATCGGGTTTGGGGAGGGAAAGGGCTATCCTAGGAACTCGGGGTCTGCCTTACGCCTGGAAGACAGTTGAAGCGCTGTGCTGCTGCTCTGACTGCCTTGAATGGCTCAAGTTGACCTTGGAGGAAAGCCAGCCCCTGACTGTTGCCTTCTGCTCAGTCACTTTGTCTTGACTGGAAGGTGCTTTGCGCAGGGGTACTAAATTCTGAGGGTGTGAGTTGAGCCTCCTCCCACCCCACAAGAAAAAAGAGAAGGAAGGGCAGATGAGAACCGCGAAAGGTGGAGGGTTCAAATGGAAACCCTGGATTCTTTTCAAGAAACAGCAGTGTCAACTGTCTCCTACCGAAGAAGGAGGAAGCCATGGCTTCTGTTAGGGGGAAAGCAACCGAGAAGACACATGAAACTGGCCTTTGGTCATAAGCGCATATGAGCGTAGATGAGCACACATGTAAATAGTGACAGCAGCCGCAGGCTGTCCCAGTGAGGTGCAAGTCTGAGGCACTGCCAGGACCACACCGGCGGGCTTCCGGAGAAGAAACGTGGTGAGAGTCCTCTAGAGTATCTAGAGCGGATACTCTGTAACTGTCCTCTTAGGTTTTCAACTACCTGACGCCTGGGTCTGCTGTGAGACTAGGGTCACCAAAGAGCCAAATCTAGCCCCAGATTTCAAGAGTTGGAACCCTTTCTGGTTCATCTGACACTGGCCTGGCAGGATTGTGGGAGCTTTCCCAACCTGATGCCAGGCCTGCTTCGCAGACACTGCTAATTGATTTTATCAGTCACCCATCTCAGTGGTGGCATTTTGGCCCACCCAGTCCTGCAAGTCCTAGCCACCACCTGGGTTCTTCCAGCTCCCTGGCTCCTCTGTCCCTCCTATTACCAGGCCTTGCCCATTCTTGTTTCTAAATCAGTCCTTTGGTTGCAACACTCATGCTCAGCACCTCAAGCCTCCTTGTTCTGCCCTTGCCCCCATTCGGAGCCTCTAGGATACACACCAGATGCTCTTACTCTAGCCTTGCCCTAGGTGGATTGAAGAAAGCATTATGTATCCATAGGAAGTGGTGCATGGGCCCAAGGAAGTATTAGAGATGGGAGAAGGCATGCCCAAGGGCCAGGTTAAGAACTCCAGGCAAGGTGGCCTCCCGGGGCCATCTGGATCTTCCTTAACTGTAGAGTTGCAGAGCTGCTCCATCCATGGATAACCTATTCAGCCTGCCCACCACACACACATACTCCAGCCTGAAGCACTGTTCTGCCAGGACAGATGGCTGGGCTTCATGCCAAAGGCTCTCTTTCCGTCCTCCTCCTTGCCCACCCACCCCCCTGAGGACTGGGGCCTCTGAGAAGGCTGGGGTAGAGGGTCATTTAGCTACAAGGGCTCTGGCCTCTCCCAGATCAAAGGAAGCAGATGGGCTTTGGCTGGCAGCTCTTCCCTCTGCCTGTCAGGCCTTGTTAAATATTTAAAATGTCAAGGCCCCTGGGAACCTGCCCGATTCTGCCACAGAGCTCCAAGGCTTGTCTGATGCCTATAAATGTGGTGGGCATGTAGAAGAGCAGGTGCCCAGGTGGGTGGCTCAGTCCCTGACAGGCCTCTGAGACCCTATGTCCCCATGGCAGCCCAGGGACCAGCCCTTCCCCCTAGCTCCTAGGGCCCAGCTGTCTGGGGCCAGGAGCAGGTGATCCTCACTCCCCCATTTCCTCAGCGCAGCAAGCCTGGAGCAGGCAGGCTCCTCAGCAGGCCTTCTTAATGGAAGGGGCAGACTTAACTGTACTTCCGGCCCCATGCCAATCCTCTGGGCCCCAGAAAGGGTTTGACAGAGGAAAAGCAGGCCAGGTAGGTATGTGGCATGTTGGTGGAGGTGACTTTGGCAGTTATTACCTCTGCAGAGATTCAGAAGGATTCTAGAACCCATCCTGAAAAAGGGTCTGCCTGCTGGTCAGGAACCTCCTGGTAGGCTAGTTAGGGGGCTCTGCACCCTGCCCCTGTCTTATCTGCTCTCCACTGACAGTCAAAAGAAGGAGGGGGCAGATGAGCTGAGAGCTGACACAATGTGGTCCTAATCCAATTCTGATGGCATCTGGCCTCTGCTCTGGGCAAACAGCCCATCTGTGTCCATGCCAACCGCCCAGCCTCTGTCCCCATGTCTTGGGCCTGCTAGGTGGGCACATGTTTGAAACCAGAAGGACCACAGCTGCCTTCTCTACCACACTCATAAGCAATGGTACCATGGCAGTTGTGACAGCTGTTGGGACCCCCAACCCTACAGAAAGGTCAAGGCTCAATCTGAAGGCAAGTGCTAGTCTTGGGCAGAGGAGGGGAGGGGAATTGCTGCAGTAGCAAGGGCAATCCAAGGACAAGGCAGAGGAGGGGAAGGAGTGAGTTTCTGTGGGAAAGGGACTAAGAGCCTCATTGGCTTTGGGAACAGTCTGGACATGTGAAGCAGGACAATCAGGAAGCAGAGTCACATGGTGCCATGGGTCTCAGGCTTTCTAGAAGCTAAAATGGATCACTTCCCCCTCTCTGGGGGCTCCAGGCCAAGGGCAGTGTAGACCCTAAGTGTCTAGGAGCTTAGAGTTCTGGTGCATCCCTTGTAATGTTGAGTCTTTCATAGCTTCTGCAGTTGAAGGCGAAAAGGCTCAATCTGGGGAAAAGACTGAGGTCTCCCAGATACCCTACTGGGAAAGCTGTGGTGGGGGTAGGGAGCAAGCTGAGGAGGCCTAGCCTTTCTTCCTAACACCTTACTAGGAAAGCTGTGGGACTTCAGAAAGAGGTCTTTGGCCCTAGTAGAAATCTGAGATGCCAGCCCAGCTCAGGCTCAATGAGGGCAGGGAGAGAAAGGCAGGGACAGCTGCAGCCCTTCTGGGTGGGAAGGACACTGTGGCTGGATGCTATGGACGTGCCAAGGCTGTGCTGCTTACAACTTTTGTTCTTGTCAGTCCTTCTACTTCATTCAAGCTCCACCCTGCTCCTCTGAGAAGGCCCATTGTCAGTGCTTCCTCATTGATGAGCGATCGGGGACTGAGTCTTATTGCTTTCCTAAACTCCGCCTGCTACGCATGCTCCATGGACCAGATGGCTCTTTTGATCACCACTCAGCTCCTTCAGCAGGTGGTAGAAGCCATGTCAATGACTCTGGTGGGAACTTCAACCTACCACCCATATGCTAGGTGTCAGTGTAGAGCTGGTCCCTTTGGGGTGTAGCACTGGAGGCCTGGGTGAACCTAAGGAGGGGCTGGATCAGCCTGCAGAGAAGATTGCCAGCTAAGGGTAAGGCTGTGGCAATTTCTCACTTGTCTGAGATCTACATGGAGGTTACCTCCAGGGTCCTGGAGCCATGAGTTAAGGACTTCTCTGCCCCTGGACCCTACAGTGATTGAAGTCCTTAACTCATGTCCCTGGTTCCCCTGTGCCTTGCCCCCTTTGCAGATCAGGCTGGGTAGCCCTGCATGTCTTTGGAAAAGGTAGGCCATAGGGTAGGGTGGCCAAGGTCCAAAGGCTGCCTCACTTTCAAGGTGCCAGAGTCTCAAACACAGTCCCATCTTTCATGCATGTGTAGGGCCTAGTGACCAGCACTCTCAAGGAGACATGGAGTCTAAGTGTTAGGAGACAGATAACTTTGTCCGATCCCTCTAGAGAGGGCCCTGGCCAATTCTTTGGCACTTGGGTGAAACTAGGCTAATATTACCTGGATCCCCTTAATTGGTAACCTCCCCACAAATCCACTGAAGCCACTTAGATATTGATTCACCTCTCTACCCACCCTCAACCCAAGGAGCCCCTGGGTGCTCTGTTCTGCTCCTATCTCAGCTACCCTTGACCACATAGCATCCTCCTGAGTCCTTGCTGTCCTTTCCTTTGTTGGGTGTTAGCGCTTCCCTGCAAGCATCCCTCAAAGATAACTTTGACACGGAAATGACAGCAGACATGAAAGGTGCAGAGTGTAGGCTAGTGTTTCAGCAATTGAGACATCTACAGGCCTAAGACCTCCTTCCCTAGACCTGCTGTCTTATAAGTGCATCAGGATATAAATAGCCCCTTTTCCTGGGTTACCATCTCTTCCTCAGGCTGGGTACTCACTATGAGGGCTGTGCTTGGTCCCCTGTGCTTAGTCCTGTGCCTGCAGAAAGGCTTGTAGCACTTGGCCTGTACCACTCTGCGTTCTCTAAGCATCCACTCCGGAGTTCCAGAGAGACAGACTTTAGCTAGAGAGCCACAAGGGGCACTCTTGCTGCTGCAGCAGCAGCTTAGTCAGAGATGCTTATGGTACCAAGGGCTAGCCTGTGCCATCTTCTGTGCTTCTGTCATTTTCCCGGCACACTGTGTAGGCCTGGCAGACAACACCAATGACTTAGAGAAACGCAGGCAGATCTATGGGCAGAACTTCATCCCTCCCAAGCAGCCCAAGACCTTCCTGCAGTTGGTATGGGAAGCCCTGCAGGACGTGACTCTCATCATCCTGGAGGTGGCTGCCATTGTCTCCCTGGGCCTTTCCTTCTATGCACCACCTGGAGAGGAAAGTGAAGGTAAGGGGCGAGGCTCTGGGCTAGAAAGGGGGGGTCCCAGCGCTTGGTTTCCATGACTTTACATCTCCTTCATGTTCTCCTCCGTCCTTGGTCACAGCCTGTGGGAATGTATCTGGTGGGGCAGAGGACGAGGGAGAGGCTGAGGCTGGCTGGATTGAAGGGGCTGCCATCCTACTCTCTGTCATCTGTGTGGTGCTGGTCACGGCCTTCAATGACTGGAGTAAGGAAAAGCAGTTCCGAGGTCTTCAGAGCCGTATTGAGCAGGAGCAGAAGTTCACTGTCATCCGAAATGGACAGCTCCTCCAGGTCCCCGTGGCAGCACTGGTGGTGGGGGACATTGCCCAGGTCAAATACGGTAAGTGTACCCATCTTCTCCTACCCTGCCAAGAATGCCCGAATGCCATTTCTGAGAAGGGTGAGCCAGAGGAACCTCCCCAGCTTAGACTGTCTCCCCAGTAGTCTGTGTGTTTCCCCCTACAGGGGCCTGGGATTGGAGCATGTGGGGTGTGATTAGGGGCAGAAAAGAAATTTGAGATACAACAGTACCCATAGGAAGCAAGCTAGCCTCAGCCTCTGGAGAGGTATTCTTCTACTACTATAGGATACAAGTGTTGTCCCTGTTCTTTGAGGGCTGGACAACATGGTTAGATGTGGATGATTCCCCCCCCACACACACACACAAGAGGAGGCAGAAAGAAGAGAGACCCCCAGACCTCTCCCAGATGATAGGACCTCCCCTGGGAAAGGCAGGAAGAGGAAAGGGTAGGGAGGTCCCATGGATCCATAGCCTTCAGTTCTGGCCTGGGCTGGCTTATAGGAGACCTTCTGCCTGCCGATGGTGTGCTAATCCAAGGCAATGACCTCAAGATTGATGAGAGCTCCCTGACCGGCGAGTCGGACCATGTGCGCAAGTCAGCAGACAAAGACCCTATGCTGCTCTCAGGTAAGGGTTATCTTCTCAGACAGCCCAGGTAAGGTTGCTTGAAAACCTGGCCCTAGCATCCCCAGAAAAGCCATCCTGGTGGACTTGCCTTAACTAAGATCTCCCTGAATAGCCCTTCTGAGAATGCTACCCACTGCCATGCCAGAGCAGGTCACTGGAGGCCTGGTGGTGTGGCTCCAGCCACAGGACAAAGAAATGATACTCCACTGTTCAAGAGGGCCTTTGATATCATGAATGGGACATCCCAAGGGGAGGGCTTTCTGGGGTCAATAGTGTGTTCCATCTACATATAGACTCTGAAGATGACCCCATGTATGTTTTGTTCCTTTTCTAGAAGGTTCAAATTCAGCACACTTATCTTAATGGGAAATGTAATATGAAACTGAACAGAAAAACCAGAGGTCCCCTGGTGGGCCCTGTAATGGCTCAGACTGTGCTTCTGACAAAGACCCGCCAGTCTGTGGTACTTTGGCTCATTCCCACTACAGCAAGCTGCAGTCTAGATGGAGGGGTCAACAGCTGCAGTGACTTCTGCAAGAGAAGTACCTGCCTCAGGGAAACCCTAAGAGCCAGCCTATGGGTGATGAGCGTGTCCTACCAGGTTGTCTTAGTTCCTCTATGTTTCTGTGCCAGGCACTCATGTCATGGAAGGTTCTGGAAGAATGGTGGTAACAGCTGTTGGCGTGAACTCCCAGACAGGCATCATCTTTACATTGCTTGGAGCTGGTGGAGAGGAGGAGGAGAAGAAAGACAAGAAAGGTAAGGCTGCCATGATTCCAGTGTCCAGAGATGATGAGACCGCTTCCTTCTATGTTAATGTCCTTGCTTCTTCATCTCCCTGCTGGCCAATCCTGGCTCCAGGGAGATGGGTGGGAAGCCACCACCTTCTACTAATTCTTCTTGAGGATCCTTCTGGTATTTTTCCGAAGAGTCAGCAGGTCAATAATCCTTGTGTAGGGGGCAGCTTTCCTTAGATGGCTATTCTATGATGGCTTTGGTACATCTGTCCCTGGGGTAAAGTGTGCTCACAGAAATGTGACCTCTTATCTCAACTTTGAAAGATACTGCTGGGATCTTCAAGCTCACCCTCAAAGTACTCAACTTCCATGGGAAGATTCGGGGGTGCTCACAAAATCCAAAGTGGAAGTCTTCTGAGCAGATAGGGATAGGTCTCAAAATGACAGCCAGAGCCAGGGGATGCCAGATGGGGTGGGCAAGGTAGGCTCTTTAACAAGTGGTAGCCCTGTCTCTGAGGATAGCAATGGATAGAAACAGAAGATTTTGGAGAGTCCAGCTTCCTTATGACCCTGGGATCCCTGGCCGAAAGCTACTATACCGTCCCTTCCAGCCATGGCACTCAAAACCATGGAGTTACAGAGCTTCCCCTTGTCAGGCCCTGCTCCTCTGTGACTCAGGCACACACCCTAGCTCTGGTGAGCAGTCTGCCCTTGGTTCTTTTCCACAGCCCCAGGTGACTATGGAGCAGATACTTCCAGATGCATGCCCGCCCGTCTTAGAGGACCTGGAGCCACAGACTATACAGGGACAGACCAGCATGAGGAAGGACAAGTTAATAGTCCTGGCCTTAGGCTACTTCTTGAGGTCCCCTGTCCCTGGAGACATGACTGTCAGGGCTACAATCACTGAGAAGCTTCTATTATCCTTATTCCCTGGCAGCCTGGTCCTGTGCCTCCCTGTATGGGCACCTCCCTGATGTTGACAGGCCAGGTCTTCTGCCACCTGCACCAAGTCCCCAATCTCCACTGAGCCCCTCCCAGTGTTATCCCACAACTTTAATGTGTGCTCCAGGAATACACAGACAAATGATAGGTTAGTTTGAGTCCCCAGGCATGATGACCTTACCTAGTGTCTTCTTGGTTCTGTTAGGTTGACAGGACACACCTTCCACATAAATCCCTTTAGGAAATCCACTCCCTCCCCTTGAAGCCAATGGTCTCTCCCTTGAGCTGCTATCACCTGCACTTTCCTGGTGATCCTGGTGGCTCCTTTCCAAGCTCCTGGCCTCCTGTTCTATCTCTTAGATAGTCTTCACAGCTTGGGCCTAGGCCACTCCCTCCTCATTGAACTTGATCTTCTTCATCCAGACCCTCCAAGACAAGCTGCGTGCACTTCTCCAACACTGCTTGGCTGTGAGACTTAGGGAACTGGAGTGGGCCAGCTTCCTGGAGAAGTACCCCGAGGGGCTCTGAGGAATAGCATCTATCTTGGCCAGTGCCCTCATCTTACTCCTGTGGTTCTGTCAACCCACTGGGCATGCTCTGAAGCTGTTCCCTGTCAACCTGCCACCCTTACATTCTATTGCTGTCTCTTCTCATGACTCCTATATGCCCTTTTCTTCCTGAGTCCCTCCCTCCCCTCCTGTGCTCTGCTTTACTCCAGGCTACCTCTTCTAGTCATGTTCACTTTGCTTCCTAGCACCAGTATTGGGAAGTTCACAACCCCCTGCAACTCCAGCTCCAGAGGCCCCAAATGTCCTTTCCTGGCCTCCATTGTCATGGACACACACACAAATAAAAGAGACATAGGCACACACATGCACTCACACATGCATGAACACACACACACACGCAAACAAATAAGTCTCTTTCACCTCTGAACTACCCCTAACCCACACAGGGGCCCTGGGCAAAGAGGGTCCAATATATGATCTGCTTATGGTTGAAGATGTCTCTCTCATTCTTGGGACCCCAGATTGTGGGTAGGAGCTTGGCCCAGGAAGCCCAGAGTATATGCAGTTAACATGTTCTGGGAGGTACTGACAGATTGCTTCTGGAAAGTATAGGACATCAAGAAAGCCCATCCTTAGGCAAGGTCATGGCTAGCAGCAATCAGGCCTTTCCTTTTCTTCCTCTACCCCATGGAGCTACAAACTGCTATATGTGCCCAAGTTCTTCCTACTCTCCTGTGCTTCTGTGTATGTCATGACCACATGGGTGTTCTCAAGTCTCTCCGTGTCTGTCATTCCTCTTCCATTGTAGGCAAGCAGCAGGATGGGGCGATGGACAGTAGCCAAACCAGAGGTAATGTGCGTGCATGGCTCAGGGCTGCTGAGGAGCTTGTGGGGAGGAGGGAGAGAGGGGGGAATGGGGAGGGACCACCTACTGCCAAGGAAGAAACAGCACCTAAAGACAGGTGAGTGGGCCCCAAAGTCCCATCCTGGCTTGGCAGTGAAGGGGATACTCTTGGAGGATGCTCCAGTTTCTACCAGACACTGCTTCCATGGAGCCTAGATGAGCCACCTGGAAAACGACTGGTCAGTGCCAAGGCCACCAGCCTTGCTTGAACTTGTCCATGTATGAGAATTCCCCATGGACACCTGAGACCACTTTGGCCAGATAAGGAAACCGAGATATAGAGAGGGTAACTTGTCAAAATCCCTAGGTGACAGTCCTATGAGTTTCCCAGGTAAGAGGAGTTAGCCAAAGCCTGGAAGATAATTGAGATTGCTAGGGCTTTGTGGACTAGGAGGCATCTGGCTCTGGCCCTTGCTTGGTGGGATAAAAGAAGGTAGGGACTCAAGGCTAGAGTGACCCAGCTAGGCAGGGTCTGGCATGTCCTGAAGGCTGCTAGGAGGAAAGAGCTATGGTAAGTAGTCTCGAACTGCCAGGTGAGGTGAAGGGATGCAGAATAAGAGGAAGACAAGCTGAAGCCGGGTGGTGGCGGTGCACACCTAAAATCCAGCACTTGAGAGGCTGAGACAGGTAGATCTCTGTGAGTTTAAAGCCAGCCTGGTCTACAAAGTGAGTTCCAAGACAGGCTCCAAAGCTACAGAGAAACCTTGTCTCAAAAAAAGAAAAAGAAAACAAAACAGTGTAGAGTTGTGCTATGATAGCCATGGTCACCTTTAGCTGGGTGGCGGTGGCGGTGGTGGTGGCGCACACCTTTAGTCCCAACACTCGGGAGACAGAAGCAGGCAGATCTCTGCTCTACAGAGCTAGTTCCAGGACAGCCAGAACTGCTACACAGAGAAACTCTGTCTAGAAAAACTAAAAAAGGAAGGAAGGAAGGAAGGAAGGAAGGAAGGAAGGAAGGAAGGAAGGAAGGAAGGAAGGAAGGAAGAAGACAAAGACAAAAACAAAATGGGGGACACCCCTACAACTGCTAGGTCAGGCAGCCCCTTCCTTAGGAAGAGTGGAGGAAGCAGGTGGAGTGGACATGGTTATTTTTGGCAATGTAGCTGGAGAGTATCGAGCCCAAGGACTGTGTAAAACTTGACAAAGAGAGATGAGGAATCCATGTCACCACCACAAAGGCAGCAAGAATGAAAACTAAGGGGCCTGTAAAGGTGGAGTGGAGCCACGTGATCTAAGAGGGAGGTAGGGAAATATCAGGAGGAACAGAACAGGTTTGCCCACAGAGGAGGCGAGCTGGGCAGGGTTGTCTAGGCTAAGAGGAGCATACACTAGGGCCCCTTAGTGATCTTGAGGGGAAAGTAGAAGTGGCTTGGATATCTGTGGGCAAATGAGTCAGATTTTGGTTCCAGAACATTCCTTGGACCAACCACGGGACTTCTTTCAGGTATTGAGCTTTGGGACATTACTGGACTGACCACCTTGTCTGTCACAAGTTCCCTATGCTAGTGTCTGTCCATCCTTCCCATAAAAGAACCATCTCTCTGTCCCACCTAGGACAATGCTGCAACTGCCTGCCTACTCCAGGAGGGCCTGGCCTTAGGATGCAACAGAAGCCTACAGATTCCCTTTGCAAAACTTGAAGTTAAAAGTGCTCCATTGAATCCCATATGATGAGACATGTCTTTCCTTGTGATAACCCTCTATAGTCCCTTTATCCTTGATAGGCCCTAACTTCAGCCAAGGGTTTCCTCTATGTACAGCTAAGAAGCAGGATGGGGCTGTTGCCATGGAAATGCAGCCCCTGAAGAGTGCTGAGGGTGGGGAAATGGAGGAGCGAGAAAAGAAGAAAGCCAACGTACCCAAGAAGGAGAAGTCAGTTCTGCAAGGAAAGCTCACAAAACTCGCTGTGCAGATTGGGAAAGCAGGTATGTTCAAGCCAGAGATGGCATGCCAGGAGCCTGGGGGACACTGGGCTCCTGGAAGGAATATGACTTCCAGATGCCGTGAGTGCAAAGGACAGAATATTGTCCTGGCCCTAGGAAAGCTCGCGTACAGAGAAATGGATAGTATTCCAGAAGAATGTCATATAACTGTTGGGCCAGAGGTGCAGGCCAGAGCCAACCATGACTGCCAAGGTCTGGCTTAGCACCCTCCACCCCAATAAGGCCTAAGTCACACGCTCATGTATTACCTAGCAAATCCCCTGATTCAAGGTTTCTGGCCACATCATAGTCAACAGGTATCCAACTTTACCGAGAGCCTGCTGGCCAGAGCCCCAAAATATGAGGGTGGCTAGTACCTCACAGATGTACCTTTCATACCCTTAGCTTTCTGTTCTTTACCCCACACTGTCCTGGGGAACTAGAGCAAAGGCTACCCTAGGACCTCTCATTCCATGGAGTCATCCTTCAAGCTGTTTATCCTAAAAGATACCCCAAATCCATCAAGCCCTTACAACGGCCCTGACTGGACTCAGGCCAGCCATGGCTACCTTGCCCTGAACTTTTCTTCCTTCTCTCCTCTTACCTCTTGTGGCCCCTCTCCATCATGGCTGGACAGGGTTGGTGATGTCTGCCATCACTGTCATCATCCTGGTCCTCTACTTTGTGATTGAGACCTTCGTCGTGGATGGCCGGGTGTGGCTGGCAGAGTGCACACCTGTCTATGTGCAGTACTTTGTGAAGTTCTTCATTATCGGAGTCACTGTGCTGGTTGTGGCTGTCCCTGAGGGCCTGCCTCTTGCTGTCACTATCTCCTTGGCTTACTCTGTCAAGGTAATACTACTACTACTTACAACTAATTCCATCCCACAGACCCCAAAACTAGAGTGGGATGGCATCAAAGCACCTTAGGTGTAGTGGGGACTAAAGAAGGCTAGGGATGCTAAAGGAAGGAAGGATACTGGCCGAGATGGACTTCGATAATACATCCTAACAGACAGTCCCACTGTGACCACCCATCCCTTGGACACAGTGAAGGGAGCTAGAAAAGAAGCTGATGTTGAGAGAGACCTCACAGGGAGATTCAGAGGAGCCAAGACAAAAAAGAACTAGTGCTGCTTGTAGAGACAGAGACAGAGAGGCAGAGCCTCAGAAAAGGCTTGGGGCCACTGAGAAGCAGTTGGAGAGTAAAGAAGAACCAGGGAGTGTGGAGGAGCACAGATGTAGGAGCCCATTGACGAGGGAGCTCCGGCAGAAAGCGTCCAAGTCATTCATACAGAGAGTAGCTTCTTGGAAGCTCACTGTTCCCCATCTGATGACAACCCTTGCATCTTACTCTCTCAGTTTGATTGCCACCCATCCCAGAGATGACCAAGGTCACCAAATGGGCTGTTAGTATCACTCGCATTGCCTTTATCCTTGTAAGTAAACAACTAAGTACCCCCTCACACTCCATCTTTGCTCTTTACAGAAAATGATGAAGGACAACAACCTGGTACGCCACCTGGATGCCTGTGAGACCATGGGCAATGCCACAGCCATCTGTTCTGACAAGACAGGCACACTTACCACCAACCGCATGACCGTGGTCCAGTCCTACCTAGGAGACACCCACTACAAAGAGATTCCAGCTCCCAGCGCCCTGACCCCCAAGATCCTTGACCTTCTGGTTCATGCCATCTCCATCAACAGTGCCTATACCACCAAAATACTAGTAAGCAAGGCTAGGAGGGCAGATGAGAGAAGGGGGCAGGACTGGTGCATGGCATGAGCTTCCTTGAAGAGACTCACTGGGCTTACTTATAAATCTTGGGGTGCTGAGAAAGTAACTAAGTGGTATTGGTAAAGAATTTGCCTAGTGTACATGAAGTTTGCCCAAAATGGTTTGCCCCATCATACTATAAAAAGAAACACAGAACAGGGGAGAACAGATGGACTTTTTCATCAGGACCATTGGCTCCCCAATAATGGCATGAAGATTCATTATTAATTATGAAAGCTCAGCTGATAGCTTAAGCCTGTTTCTAACTATCTCTTACAACTTAAATTAACCCATTTCTATTAATTTACTTTCTGACTCATGGCTTTATTACCCCTTCTCTGTAGTGCCCATCCTGCTTGTTCTGCATCCCTGGCATCTCTGCCTTCTTCTTCCCAGTATCCTCTCTGCCCAGAAATCCTGCCTAACTATTGGCCATTCAGTTTTCTTATTAAATCAATCAGAGTCACACATCTTTATAGTGTACAAAAAGAGTATTCCACAACAGAAATGCAAAAAACAAGGTTAAGGAGATATACCAGTCAGTAAATTGCTTGCCTTACAAGCATGAAGACTTGAATTCACTTACCAGAACCTATTTTTTAAAAAAAGCTAGTCAGAAGTCTGCTTGTACTTCCAGCACTGGGGAGGCAGAGACAGGCAGATATCAGGGGCTACAGGTTAGTGACAGACCCCATCTCAACAAAACAAGAAAAACTACAGACTTTCAAGAGGAACCTTTAGGGTGCTGGTTGCCTTTGTCCCTGTTCTCCTGTCCTTGGCATTACATAGTGCTCTTGATATTGAGTGAGATAGGTTGTTCTAGAAGTCCTTTCAAAGCATGCTAAATGATGGAAAACCTACCTATAAAGGGCCACTTTGCAGTCAAGTCATGGCCTGTGTAGTCAACAAGGGTGGCCTTACTCTGTTCCACGCCTCTGCCTCCTAGCTACATGATGATCAAAGCCAAATGGAGATTGCTTTGGAGATGGAACAGAGGGTGCTCTGGGCCCTGATGCCAAGCTGACTGTCCTTTCCTACAGCCTCCAGAGAAGGAAGGCGCTCTCCCACGCCAAGTGGGCAACAAAACAGAGTGTGCTCTGTTGGGCTTTGTCCTGGACCTGAAACGAGACTTCCAACCTGTACGGGAGCAGATTCCAGAAGATAAGCTTTACAAAGTATACACCTTCAACTCAGTCCGCAAGTCCATGAGCACAGTTATCCGCATGCCTGATGGTGGCTTCCGCCTCTTCAGCAAGGGAGCCTCAGAGATCCTGCTCAAAAAGTAAGTGGGTAACAGGAAGGAGACAGGGGCTGGGTGGCTGAAAGCTAAAAGGGTACAAAATTTCTTGTTTTATTCTTATGATAAATAGATCTAACACAATATTGACCATGTTAACCACTTTAAAGTATACAGTTCAGTAGCATTAAGTATACTCCTAATGTTTTCAGTCATCACCTGTAGGCGGAGGCTGTTCATTTGTTCCCAGACACCCAGACCTGAAATAATCACACAGAAACTATATTAATTGCAATACTGTTTGGCCAATAGCTTAAGTATATTTCTAGCTAGCTCTTACATCTTAAATTAACCTGTTTCTATTTTATATTTTACAACAAGGTTGAGGCCTACTGGTAAAGTTCTGGCATCTGTGTCCTTCAGTGACTACATGGCATCTCCTTGACTCCACCTACTTTCTATATCCCTGTTTGAATTTCTCACCTGGCTTTACTCTGTTAAGCCATTGGCTGAAGGCAGCTTTTTTATTAACCAATGGCAAGAAAAAAACATTCACAGCATACAGATGGGAATCCTACATCATTATCACCACTATGGAACTCCAAAAGAGCTCCATTACCTTCAAAAGAAACACTAGGCCCCACTAAGGAGATATTCCTGCCCCCTCTCTACCTCGGAAAACTTCTGGCCTGTACTTGTGGTTTCACCTATCCCAGAGACTTTATAAAAGTGGAATTCTGTACTTTGTACCTTTTGTGTCTAGCTTCTATCATAGTTCATAATGTCCTCAAAGTTTCTTTATCAGAACTCCACTCCCATTTGAAAGCTGAGCAACCTTCCATTGTATGGATGACACCACATTTGGTTCAGCCATTCGTCTATTGTCAGACACCCAGATTCTCTCTACATTTGGGCTCTTATCATTCAAGCACAGGTACTAGTTTGAACACACACACATTGTCAACCCTTTGGGGTATGCACTGTGTCAGAATACTTGTTCTAGCTGCATCAGATCATGAGTCAGGAAGATATCTTGAATCTAGGAGTTTGAGGCCAACATGAGCAACATAGGGAGGCCCTCTCCTCCAACCACCACCAAAAAAGGAGAGAAATCAACTCACAGAAGATTTATTTAGAATTATAATTTTAAAAGTTCAGTCCATGGTCAGTTGTCCCCACTGCCTATGGAGCTGTGACAGGATGAACCACCATGGCAAGGAGAATATGGTGAAGCAAAAGGCTAGGAAAAGAACAAGGAAGAGGAAGAGACCATAGTACCACAAATCTCTTCAAGGGCAATGAAGATCCCCCAATGACCTAAAATTTTCCAAAATGCCCCCATGTTAAAGGTTGTACCACCACCCAACAGCATAAAAGTGGAGATCAACCATTTGATCATCCCTGCCCCTCAAACTGTCCACTCCTAAGATTCCTCCATGTCTTAACTGTTCCAAAAGTCTAAGTTCAAAGTCTCATTTGCACTTAGTATTGAGTCCCTAAAAGTTCAAACAACAATTATTTTAACATACAATGGCACAGAGTCAATATTCCCATTCAAAAAGGCAGGAATGGAAGGAAGCATAGTGAGTGCAGATTGAACCAAAGCAAAACAGAAAATGAAAAACTTGTGACTCCGTGTCCAATAGCATCTGAGCCATGTGGTGATGTGATAAGAGCTACAAAGGCCTTAGCAGCCCTCTCTCTCTCTCTCTCTCTCTCTCTCTCTCTCTCTCTCTCTCTCGCGCGCGCGCGCGCGCGCGCGCTGGATTTCCTATTTCCTACAGTTTTCTTCAGCAGGAGTTACATAGTGTGAGAATCTGTAACTTCCTGCAATCTCTCCGGTAGCTTCAGCCTCACACTCACAGGTGTGTGCACTGCCTAGAGGGATCCTGACACAACCACACATCTATCTCCTGGCTCCCCAGACTTTCCTTTAAAATCTAGGTGGAAACATCCACAACTCTGCAACTCTTGCATTCTGAACCTCTGCAGAATCACTACATGGGAGATGCCAAGGCCTTCCACTAGTTTGAGCTACATCTGGACTCACTTGAACCTCGGCTGCAGTGACTTCTGGGTTTCTTCCTGGGTGAATGAGTAGGACAAGCAGGACATCCTAGAGCTGTCCCCTCAAAAGACTCTGCCTAGAAAGTCTTTAAAAGCAATTAGTATTTATGCATCCCTGAACTGTGGTGGCTGTGGCCTTGCTCATTTCTGAGATTCTGTCCAGACATCGTTCCTATAGTATCAGGGTAATGGTTGCCCTTTTGAGGTAGCACTACCACTTCAGCAACGTCCTCTTGCCTGGAACATTATAGCACATCTTCTCTGGATAAAACTGCAAGTCTTCTTTTAAAAACGTTTAAAATTACATTTGTGTGTGTGTGTTTATGCACACACACAATATGTGGAGACCAGAAGACAAATGTGAGCGTTAGTTCTCTCCTTTCACAATGTGGGTCCTGGAGATCAAAGGAAGTCATCATGCCTGAAGGCAAATGCCTTTACCTGGTGAACCATCTCACCAGGCCTCTCTTCCTTCTTACTCTGATTACATTAAATTAGGCTTAAAAAAAAAAAAAAACAACCACAGACTGAATGCTGGGATGCTTGAAATTTCCTCTGCCAGATTAATTAATCTACCCTCCTTTACATTTAACCTCACGCTGAGTGTGAGGGCATGGACAAAAGTGTAGACAAGATCTTTTCCATAGGGGGCTGGAGAGATGGCTCAGTGGTTAAGAGCATTGCCTGCTCTTCCAAAGGTCCTGAGTTTGATTCCCAGCAACCACATGGTGGCTCACAACCATCTGTAATGGGGTCTGGTGCCCTCTTCTGGCCTGCAGGCATACACACAGATGGAATATTGTATACATAATAAATAAATTTAAAAAAATCTTTTCCATAGCATAATACAAATGGTTTCCAGTCCAATTATCAATCCTTGTTCTCATCTCCAAGCTTGCAAGCACAGGCTTTACTGTTTGCATCCCTATCAGCATTCTAGTCCTCTGAGTTCCCAACAGAGCTACCTGATAAACTCTGCTTACAATTTACAGTTCTTAAATTACTAGTAAGGATGAGGAGATATTAGAATATTTCTATGTTGCTGGTGACAACATAAAATAGTATTATTGCCATGCCAGGGGAGGTAACTCAGTTGTTTAAAGAGCTTGCCACACCAAGCAAAAAGATCAGTATTCCAGCCAGGTGGTGGCACACACCTTTACTCCCAGCACTTAGGAGGCAGAGGCAGATGGATCTCTGAGTTCCAAAGCCAGCCTGGTCCACAGAGAGAGTGTCAGGACATGTAAGGCTGTTACACAAAGAAACCCTGTCTCCAAAACAAACAAGCAAACAAAAAACAAGAAGAAAAAAGGTGGGTATGTAACTTGGTCCTTGGAGAGAAGGGAAGGGGCAATTGTGGTAGGGAGAGAGACACACAGATAACTGGATTTCATTGGCCAGCCATTCTAGCCAAGTAGATGAGCTCCAGGTTCAGTGAAAAACCTTATCCAAAGAAATAAGGTGGAGAGTAATTGAGGAAGACATTCAAGGTGACCTTTGTCTCACACATGCACACACCCACAGACACATGTGCATATACTACACACACACACACACACACCACATACTAATAGTATCATTTTGGAAAATATTTTTATATTTTATATGGTTTCTCAGGAAGTTAAACATGGCACTACCATGTGACCCAGCTGTTTTAGTTCTTGGCATATGCTTGGTAATTCATTGATTGTCACCTTGACTGTACTGAGGGATATTTAGAAAACTGGTACCTAGAACTAGGATCATTGTTGTCACCATGCCTGATCCTGTGAAGGAAAACTTAGGACTGACTTGTAATAAGAGTTAGGAACATTTGGAAACATACACTAGAGAGTTGTCTGTCTTTTGTTGTGTTTTTAAAAATCCTTGCTATATACTGACTACTAAATCCTCATCAAACATATAGTTTGCTCTTTTCACTCTCCTTACAGTGCCTGTAGATGCACAGATATTTTCAAATCATGTTGAAATGCAATTTGTCTGTTTTTGCTGTTGATGTTTATGTGGGTTGCTTTTGGCTTACTTCGTTATCTTTAGTTTTTATTCCATTTATTTATTTTTAAATTATTGTTGATTGATATGTATGGATGGTTTGCTTACATGTATGCCTATGTACCAAGCATGTTTTGTGCCCATGGAGACCAGTGGGGGCATTGGATCCCCTGGAACTGGGGTTACAATAGTTATGAGCTACCATGTGAGTGCTGGAAATCAATCCAGGGTCCTCTGGACAAACAGCTATTACTCTTAACAACTTTCCAGCCCCTATTTTTTCAATATATGTGAGGTTTTTCCTATATGTATGGCTGTGCACCACATGCATGTAGTGCCTGTGGAAACCAGAAGGGGCATCAGACCCCCCAGAACTGGAGTTACAGGTAATTAAGTAGGTGCTGGGAATCAAACCCCTATCCTCTGTAAGAGTAGCCAGTGTTCTTAACTGCTGAGCCATCTCTCTTGTGCCTACTATATTATTTATTGTTTGTGTGACTTCATGTGTGTCACACACATGCATATGTACACACAAGTGGAAGTCACAAGACAACCTATAGGAGACTGTTCTCTCCCTCTACCATGTGGGTCCCCAGGATTGAACTCAGGTCATCAGGCAGAAATCAAGCACCTTGACCCTTTAGGTCATCTCACCTGTCCCCATTTGGTTTGTTTTCTGAGACAGAGTCTCCACTCTATAGCCCAGGCTAGCTTGGAACTTGCGGTCTTTCTGCCTTAGCTTCTCGAGTTCAGGAAAAACAGGCATGTGCTACTATATCTGTAGTGAGGTTTCTTTCAGAGATGATAAAAATATTCGAAAGCTGACTGTGGTTATGTTGTGTGCGTCTGAAGATATACTAAAAATTGTTGAGTTGTATACATCAAATGGGTAAATTGTATGGTTTGTGACTTGTATCTCAATGAAGATCCTTGCTCTTGGCCTTTCTCTTTTCCTGAATCCCTCTGCCTCGTGCACATGGCTTTTGTCATCTACTCTCAAGGCCTTGAAAACAGAATCTCCAATAGGACACCAGGGTTCTCTGCCCCCAGGCTCAGTCTGTTCAGTCTGCCCCGTGCTCTCAGCAGATCTGACAACCAAATACATCTCTACTTGGTTGCCTTACTCAGAATACTGTCCCCAAACAGCCCAGTCAGCCTTTGCAGCCCATAGTGAAGGCCACCTCTCACCTGAAGCACTCCCTACTGGGGTAAAATGAAATGCTATATTTGAAGGCCCTGGTTCTCTTTCTGTGCTGCTCCTTTGATGGGTACTGAGGCTGCCACCAGCCACTCTGCCCTTTGCTGACTGGGACACAAGGAAGTTACTACTCTGTCCTGCTAGCTCAACCTCCTCATATAATATGGGGATTCTGGAAATATGAACCTCCTGGGAGTGTTGAGAATTACATGAATGAATCCATGACCCTATAAAGATGTCAGTCTATAGTGGCTTTTGTTAGTTTCTCTCTGTCACCCCCCCCCCCAACCTTGATAGCCAGCTTTGCCAGTCTCATGGCACCTTCCAAATAAGGCTCCATTAAGTTTAAACATAACTTTGCTGTAGCTGCCTTCCCTAGACCTGTCCCCTTTGAAGCTCCCAGACTATTAGAACTGGGGCTGAGGCAGCTACTGCCACATGTTGTTCCTGCTCCACTCTCTCAGAGGACTGTCCATTACTTTTGGGTTCCACCTACATTCCATACCCTTGTCCTATAGAGCCTGTAGGGGAGCTATCATAAGCTTCAGGCTTCCACCCCTCACCTGGCTATCTTAGCCAACCAGGGTGTGAGTGTTCATAGGTTGCTGTAACAAATGGCCCTATGATGGCTTAAAATAACAAAGTCTTAGACTGATTAGATAAATGAATTGGTAAAGTTCTTGCCTCAAAAGCACAAGGACCTGAGTGTGATCCTCAGAAGCCATGTAAAAAGCTGGGTGTGGTAATCCTTATAATTCCAACCCTGGGAGGGCAGAGCAGAGATGGTTGATCCTTGGGGCTCTCTGACCAGTTAGCCTACCCTACTCGGCAAGTGTAGGCCAGTGAACGAGCCTGTCTCTAACACAAAACAAATAACAACAGGTGGACAGTGACTGAGGAACAATACCCTAGTTCTGAGTTTTGATTTACACACACACCAACATAAATTTATTACTTCACATTTCTAGTGGCCAGAAATCGAAAGTTGAGGTGTGGGCCAGCTGTGCTCTCTCTGAGAGTGGGAAGGGAGGATCTTTGCTTGCCTCTCCCTAATTTTGATGCTTAGAAGGCATCACTCCTATTTCTTACCTGTGGTCACATTACCTTCTCCCTGTTTGTGCACTGAAGGCGTAAGTCACGAACAAGGCCACACCAGTTTGGAGTTATGATTAATAGGGTGTTATTTATTTAAAGGGGAAAACTTACAGATCACCGTCCCAGACAACAGCCATCTGCACAACCAGGAAGGGAGTCTAGTCTCCTGCGGAGCAGGAAGTGAAGAGAGCGAGCAGAGGAAATAGCCGCTTTTTTAAAGGGAGAGAGACCACGCCCCAATGGGCTGGTATCACAGCAGCTATTGGTTGGAGGGGCGGAAGGACCTCCCGCAACAGTGCACATCTGCATCCTCTGTTCTTTAGAATATCACTGTTTAAAGTCCCATCATAATCCAGTATGACTAGCACTATTTCCTCTTATTTACTCCCCATTCCCACCTCACCTTCCCACCCCTCCCCTGCCAGGTGTACCAACATCTTAAACAGCAATGGTGAACTCCGAGGATTCCGTCCTCGGGACCGGGAAGACATGGTGAAGAAGATCATTGAGCCAATGGCTTGTGATGGCCTCCGCACCATCTGCATTGCCTACAGGGACTTCTCTGCAATCCAGGAGCCCGACTGGGACAATGAGAATGAGGTGGTGGGTGAGCTTACCTGCATAGCCGTCGTGGGCATCGAGGATCCTGTACGACCTGAGGTAGCTGCCCCTTTTCTGGGAACTGCTCTAATAAATATTCCCCAGGTTCAAGGTTGTCCTATAGGTGACAGGGTGGCTTTTTCCACCCTGGACTTCCACACTATAGGCTTGGAACACAAACATGCGTGGTGGGAGTCACTTTCTTCTGACTTTGCAAGATGTCACACCTCTTCCCACCCTATTTATAGATAGAGCAGCCTGGAAAACAGAGACTTGGAGTCCCTCAGGCCCATGGGACCTTCCTCAGTGCTTTTGATGTCCTTGTCAAGGCCTCTTGTCCTTGACCTATGGGAGCTCCGTGGGCCTGCCTGGCCTCTGGACAAGGCTCACACTCCACTTCTCCTGAGTGTCTGTAGGACCAAGTGACTGAAGGCTCAGATGAGGGGAACTGAAGAACTGGAAACAGCTGAATTGGGTGGATATTGGTTTGGGAACACGGTGAGCAACTGTCAGTCAAAGGCTTAATTGTGTCTGAATGAGATTAAGCGCACATCCATGAAGATGTCAACTAGGCATGTAACTGTGGAAATGGAGAGCTTAGAGCATACATTCTGACTGGAAAGACATCCTAGAAACATCTTCCTGTGCATGTGAAGTCACTGAGAGTAGCTTCCAGTGATAGAGACCAGACGTAGGGGAGGGGATGGTTCTCAAGGGTCATATGGGTGAAGCAAGCATAGAATGAAACAGGTTGTCTGCCTATTGATGGTCTTGACATTGGGAGGTCACTGAAGCCTTTGACCCAAACACATTTTATGTGATGTTTGTATTTCTTGGTCTTTGAAGATGAGGGATTCTTGTGAGTGGATCCTGAAGAAAAGATTGTGAAAGGGCCCTCTATCTTCCCAGCCCTGTCTGCTGGTATCCGCCTCATGTTAGACTACCTTGATTCTGCCCATTAGCCTGAAAGCACTTATCTGTGGGAACTGCTCTGGAGCTTTGGGTAGGACAAGGAAGGAGAAACTTTGCATACAAGGTCACAAAGCAAAGGTTCTAAAGCAAATACTCCCCACATCTAAAGAATGGCCACGGGTCACTGTCAACTGTATATCCTTGTATTCATTGGGAATGGCGTGAGAACTAGAGTCAGCACAAGAGACCTAGGCTGGGCTGGCAGCAGAGTGAGCCCCAGGGCCAGCTATACAATAATATTTTTGCAAGTTTTCACCTCAGGATATGTGAAACACAGACAAGTGTTAAGAAAGACATAACCAGGACCTAGCCTCAGTGGATACCACGGGGCAGGGGTGGTCCAGGGTTGAAGCTCAGGACAAGAAGAATGTATCTCGGTTTAGGTGATAACTGAATGATCCAGGGAACAAGGATAGCTCCTCTGTGACTTAAAATGGCTGAGAAGGAGTGCTGGGTGGTAGTGGTGGTGCATGCCTTTAATCTCAGCACTCAGGAGGCAGAAGCAGGCGGATCTCAATGAGTTTGAGACCAGCCTGGGTCTACAAGAGCTAGTTCCAGGACAGCTAAGACTGTTACACGGAGAAGAATCTCTGTCTCTAATTCCCCACCCCCCAAAAAAAGTGGCTAAGAGGGAGTTCAGCAATAATGTTACTGGGAGACCAGACATCAAGTCCTGGCTCTGGGGCAAGCACAAGGGATCAGCGAAATCTCCATGAGTCTTAGCCAAACTCTCTGGGCATTGGAGAACACAGGATGGCCACCAGAGGGGGGAAGAGAGCTGTGTCTAGAGAAGTCCCACAGATGAATACTAGACCTAGGAACTTCTACAGACATCCGCTCCCTGCTTATGCTAAAGGGGCCTTGAGGAGAAAACAGGAAACTGGTCAGAGCAGACAAGGAGAGAACAGTCTTTCCTACAAGGTAGGGTATCTTCTGGGGTGGTGTCCCTGCCACCTGGCTGGGAGGCTGAGAGCTTGGAGACTGAGTATGTGGGTGGGCCTTGGAATGGTGGCTGCACCTGGACCCTGGGGTAACTCTGTTCAAAGTTCCCAGATTCCAGATTCAACATGGTCACCTGGAAGCAGCAGAAAAGGCGGCTTCCAGCCAGTTTGGGAAATGAAGCTGCAGAGCGCCTTACACCCCTACTTGAGAGGAAGTTCTCTGTACTCAAGGTCTTATGGAGCACCTTAAGACCCTAAGAGAACAGAATGTGTTCTTGAGACTGAGCATAAATGAGAAGACACATCACACACACACACACACACACACACACACACACACACACACAGAGACAGAGACAGGGACAGAGAGACAGAGGCAGTGAGTAAGCTACCACTCTATCCGAGGTATGTCTGTCCTTCCCTGTCACTTAACAGTTCTGGCTTTGATTATCAGATCACTATCAAAGCCTTCAATAGGGACACTCTGTTCTTGTTTGCCACAGTCTACTTCTTTCCTGATCCTGACTATCCCCAAACTTCTCTGTTCCTCTTGCCCACCCTGCCTCCTCTAGGCTCACTAGTTCAGGCGATTAGGCCAAATCTAGAGATCTCCTACATTCTTTCCCCTCGGGTTCAGCAGACAGCCCACCACTGTTCACGGGGTACCCACCAAGGAAGTCAAAGACCTAGACCTCTCCTCATCCAACTCTTCAAACACTGAGCTGGCCTTTCTCCTCCTCAGTGCATATGCTATTCCATCCGGCCTGGTCTGCGGCCCCAGGGCCTGAAGGGCCACACATACCATGTGTTTGGAAACTGTCCTTCCCATCTGCCCACTACTGTTACGATGCTGCAAGGCCCAGGCTGGTCTCATGGCTTCCCACCCTCTTGTCCTGTTTTGTGCTTTGTGCTTGGGGTTCTCTTTCTCCTTCCTTAGTTCTAGAACCTACTATGTTATTTGAAAAAGAAATGCAGGCGTTGTAATCCCAAGTAATGTCCCACTCCCTCTAGTGAGTACTTTATATAAAAGCTACAGCTGAGACAAAGATTAATTCCTGAGGAAAATGGTTGAGTTCTATGCTGAAAAACCATAACAAACTAGACAAGAGTGGGAGGAGTTCAGCATAGCTGGGTCTAAGTCACTGCTCATCCTGTGAGCAGCCACAGTGAAGGAGATGTCAGGGACAGTGGGCTGGGGGGCTGGGGTAGGTACCTGCCCACTGCAGGCCCTCCTCTGAACTATTTCAGACCACACTCCACAGACCCTGCCCTTGAATATACTTCCATATTTGTTGGAAGTTGGAATTCTGCAAATCTGTACCAGACACAAAATATGAGCTTGTCTTGCCAGCCCCACCCATTCTTGTATCTCCCAGGTTCCTGAAGCCATTCGCAAATGCCAGCGTGCTGGCATCACAGTCCGTATGGTGACTGGAGACAACATCAACACTGCTCGGGCTATTGCAGCTAAGTGTGGCATCATCCACCCAGGTGAAGACTTCCTGTGCCTGGAGGGGAAGGAATTCAACAGAAGGATTCGAAACGAGAAAGGCGAGGTAGCTCCCTGCATCTGTCCTGGGCTGCTGCTTCTCCCATCCCTCTCCCATCACTACCAGCCACAGTGCCTGTCTGCAGCCTAGATGCTGAGGCCTCCATTATTTTCTCCAGATAGAACAGGAGCGGCTGGACAAGGTGTGGCCCAAGCTGCGAGTGCTCGCCCGGTCATCTCCCACTGACAAACACACGCTGGTCAAAGGTAACCAAATGTGTTCACCCTCTTCAACATGTGATTGTCTCTGGCATCCCTGAATGTTGTCACCTGCTCTTAGATTCTAGGGTGGAAGATTCTAAAGACTATGACTAGAAAACATCAAACTAATAATGGCTCATAGAAGCAGCCCTTCATTGGAACAAATGGGGAAACCAAGGCTGGGACAGGGAGACAATCATTCAGTTCACACAGTGTGGGACCTTCCCTTCTACCAAATCTTGCCAGCCTATGTTACTGAACAAAGGACCTTGGTGGAAGTAGGGGGATGAAGTTACCCCATTAAAGCCTGAGGACTTGACCCCATAAGTGACAAGGAGCATAGAAGCAGGCCATACCAAATATTGGCAGATACTTTCAACCCTACCCTAACCCATTCTGTGTTCCAGGCATTATTGACAGCACAACTGGTGAGCAGAGGCAGGTGGTGGCTGTGACTGGGGATGGTACCAATGATGGGCCAGCTCTCAAAAAGGCAGATGTGGGCTTCGCCATGGTAAGCCATCTGGTGCCAGACCAGTTCATCACACAGATGAAATCATGTTTCTCCTGGACTTAACTTTGCATCAGAAAATGGAGAGCCAGTATCAGCGCAGGTGACAGACTGCTAGAAGCTTCCTTCACTCACATCTTGACTGCTTGTGGCTGTGTGGGCTCTGACCATTAACAAATATATATGTGATTTATTTAAAGACATCTGGTGTGAAGACACCAGAGGTTACAGTGGAGCCTAACTGCACCACTGAAGAAAAGGAGAAATGCTTAGCAGTGGCTTGACAACAGTGGTACGTGCCCACAATCACCTGTTCTTAGTCCACTCAGAGTAGCCCCTGGCCCCAAGAGTGATGAGCAGAGACCACAGGGAGTTCTTCCTCTGCTTTCTCTCTTTCTGATCATATAGATCTAGCTCTTCTTACTGAGCAGGGCGGCCTTGTAGATACTGCCCACATGGTGAGCCCTGCCCCCAACTCACAGTGGTTAGCAGCCTAGTGTCACACACCCCCCCCAGAAGAAAGGAGAACCTTTCACTCAGTCATATTTGGTTCAGCAGTGGGATGGGGAAGTACAGCATTCCTGGACCTCACAACCTGGAGTAGAGAGCAGGCTGAACTGTCCAGAGTGACTGATGTCACAAGACCAGGTCCAAGATGGAGTGGGTGAGGGCTACACAGACTTGATGTCTATTGCTATGCCCAAGCTTATGCGGTGGAGCAGCAAAAATCTGCCGTGGAGCCAGGGGATGGGTCCTTTCCCCTACCCAGACAGACAACCCACATTTCTCAGGGTTTCTTCAAGTAGCCAGACAAAGGACTGGTGAGTAGCTGCCCAGTGGCAGCTGGGCCTTGTGGAAGGCTATATGGATGGCCATGTTGTTAACAACCATGTTGTTTAGCAGCAAAGGCCCCCTCACAGCCAAATGTGGCAACATGCAGTTCGCAGCGTAGAGTGTGTTAGATTAAAACAAGTGCTGTTCAATTAAGGCCTTATTTGGAAGAGAAAGGCAGGGGACCATCCCAGGTGGGCTGGGTGCCCAAGGAGGACTTGAGAAATACGCACTATGCTTATATACCATCCCCCAGGGCATCGCAGGCACTGATGTGGCCAAGGAGGCCTCTGACATCATCCTGACTGACGACAACTTCACCAGCATTGTCAAGGCCGTCATGTGGGGCCGCAATGTCTACGACAGCATCTCCAAGTTCCTGCAGTTTCAGCTGACAGTCAACGTGGTGGCTGTGATCGTGGCCTTCACAGGTGCCTGCATCACTCAGGTGGGCACCAGGGGCCTACAAGAGGCAGTTGGTTTCTAATGACAGTAATGTGGGCTCAAGAGGGCCATATTAAGAATCTGCTTGTTGCAGATTCTTTTTATTGAAATCAAAATCATATACAAAAAATCTTATCTCTTCATGGTAGCTGTTTAGTAGATTTTTTAGTATATTCACAGTGTGAATCATCACTTCCTTCTAGTTCCAGAACACATTCATCCATCTCAAAGGAAACCTTTCGCCTACCAGCAGTCATTCCCCACCCCACCCCCAAGCCCCTGACAACTGCCACTTCTTTCTGCCTCTATTTATTTGCCTGTTGTAGATAATTTGTATCAGTGGAATGAAATGGCATGTGGCCTTTGGGGTTTGTTTTTTACATTTTTTTTTTGCCAAGGGGGATGGGCATGTGTATGTGCTGCAATGCACATGTGGAGGCCAGAGGACAACTTGCATGAATAACTTCTCTCTTTCCACCATTTGGGTCCCAGATAATTGAACTCAGGTTTGTGCCTCTATTCACTGTGCCAATTTGAAGATTCAACATATGGCCTTTGCACCTCACATCTCACTTGGCATGTTTGCAAGATTCATCCATCTTGCAGCTTGGCCCAGTGCTTTATTCATTTTCATAGCTGCACAGGAGTCCACTAGGCCCCATTATGTTTGTCATTCATCCATGTTTTGGACCACTTCCGCTTCATTGCAGTGTAGTGTTGCTAGGAACGCTCATGTCCAAGTTTCAATATGCATATGTCGTCCACTCTCTTGGGTTGAGATCTGGGAGTAGAATGACTGAGTTTCAGAGAAATTCTATATTTCCCCTTTCTCAATGCTTTCATCTTACCCATATGTTGGAGGCCAGAATTTATTGATTTCTTGTTAGGGATGGTTGACTTTATTGTCAAAAAGTAGTTAACTATTTTGAGTGATTAGCTTGATCCTTTAGTGTGTGTGTGTTGGCAAGGTGTACATACACGTGCATTCATGTTTATTTAGAGATCAGAGGTCAACCTCTGGTGTTCATTGGAAGTTTTTCACCTTGTTCTTTGAGAGACAGACTTTTGTCAATAAGACCCCAGCCTCACTGATTAGGACAGGCTAGCTAGACAGCAAGCCTTAGAGATCCTCACATCTTCATCTTCCCATCACTAAGATTACAAATTCACACTGCCATGCCAATGTGATCTGTGATACAGATTCTAGAGGTTGAGCTTAGGTTTTCATGCTTGTAAGACAAACACTTTACTAACTGAGCTAACTCCCCAGCCCCTCAAGGACTTTCTCTTGATATCTAAGTCAAGTATGAATGATATCGTAACAACCATTCTAACCATTTGTAAGTACAGAATCCATGCCTCGGCCTATGCAGTTTACTCTCAGAATATTCCCATGATTTCCTAGAGGACACCTCACACCCATTAGCAGCCACTCCCCATTGCCTCTCCAGCTTACCTGTTCCTCTGTATGTGAAATTCAGACCACAACTTTGAGATCACTGCCTCCAGTCAAGAAGAGAGGGAGGTAGGTGGGAGTTAGGAAGCCAAGTGGAAAACATCTGCAAACCTGAGATTCCCATGACATTGGCAAAACTGAGCTTCTCCTCAGTAGTGGCAGGCTTTCATATCCTAGCATCCCAAGGTTACTCTATGTAGTTCTGCATGGCCAGCATACACGAAGGTGACTGCCCTTCTCTGCAGGACTCTCCTCTCAAAGCTGTGCAGATGTTATGGGTGAACTTGATCATGGATACATTTGCCTCACTTGCCCTGGCGACGGAGCCCCCAACTGAGTCACTGCTGCTGCGGAAGCCATATGGCCGAGACAAGCCCCTCATCTCACGTACCATGATGAAAAACATCCTTGGCCATGCCGTCTACCAGCTCACTATCATCTTTACCTTGCTTTTTGTTGGTAAGTTAAACCGGAGGCACATGCTTCATGTATGAGCCCTGTCTGTGTCCTCAGTCTGGCACAGGATGGGATACAGCACTTATAGACTGAAGAAAGCAGGCCCACTCTATACCTTTGACCCATACCTCCCTGCTTCAACATGTACCCTACTGTACATCCCTGGGGCAGATGTGGTGGGGGAAAGTGGCCACTGGGGCTGAGAGATCTCCCTCCTCAGCCCCTGCCTCTCTCCTCCCTTCAGGAGAGCTCTTCTTCGACATCGACAGTGGAAGGAACGCACCCCTGCACTCACCCCCCTCCGAGCACTATACCATCATTTTCAACACCTTTGTCATGATGCAGCTTTTCAATGAGATCAATGCTCGCAAGATCCATGGTGAGAGGAATGTCTTTGATGGTATCTTCAGCAACCCCATCTTCTGCACCATTGTCCTGGGCACCTTTGGAATTCAGGTAGGACATGAAGGTGTAGGGGCACTGACATTGGCCTTCTTGTACCCAAATCTTTTCCACATTCTAGAGCAGATGTTTTGCATCTTCCAAGCATTGCTGAGCTCAGTTTTTCATCTAACCTACTAGCTTCCAGGGTGCTATGGGTAGCCTTTATCCCCCATCCTTCTCACATGGTTTCCAGAACCCTTCTTCCCTAACTCTCTCTTGGTCAACCATGTTAATTTCTAGTACCTAACTCCTTGGTGTTCTAGAACAATAGAGATTCTTTAGGAAAAGCTTGCTGTGCACATGGTTGATATGTTAAACTTTGGCTCCCACAACACTGTGGTCAGGGTGGCAAGCTCAGCTCCCCAGGAGGGGCTAAATGCTCTAAAGTATAGTGTCTTCAAACAAAACATCATTTATAGTTAAGTCCCACAAATCAGGAAATGGCTGTCATAGAAATGTAGCTCACTGTTCACAGATCCCAAGAAGAGGGGCATGTCATACATTGGTGGCCACCTCTAAATGCCAGTAAGGAACCACTGAGAGGGGACTTTTACTGTGGTTTCCCAGGACCAAATGAATAAGGGGATCAACAGACTTCATCTTGCTAGCATGAAATCATTTCAGCCCACCATGGGGTATAGACTGGCCCCGCTTGCCTGGAAAATGGCTCTGAGCAAGGTTGGGTAATATGCTATGGATTGCTTGGCTAGCATTTAAGATATTGTTCTGGGTGTAGGACTTCTTCTAAAGTAGACAACAAGGAAGTCAGGAGGCCAAAGCAGGGTGACCCTTAAACTATAGGGCCATGCAGAGCAGGCAAATGTGAAAATAGCCTTGATGAGCCGGGAAAGATGGTGCAGACAGCTGAGTCTCAACTGGAGGCTGGAGGCACCAGAGGGTAGGTGGGAGTGGGTGCCAGCATGTGAAGCTACACAATGACACATCCTGGTACCAAAAGGCAGGACATGCCAGTAAATATTTGTCTGTGGCGAAAGTGGTCTGGCTCCCAGGAGACAAAGTCAGTCTGGAGGGCAAGGTTTGTAGAGGGCTAGACAGGACGCAGAGAAGTCAGGAGCCACCCTGGTAATAAACTGCTCCTCCTCCCACCACTCTCCATTCCTTCCCCCAGATTGTCATCGTCCAGTTTGGTGGGAAGCCCTTCAGCTGTTCACCACTGTCCACAGAACAGTGGCTCTGGTGCCTATTTGTTGGTGTTGGGGAGCTGGTCTGGGGACAGGTGAGTGTCTGCCTCGTCAACTTTCTCACCAATACCTTCATTCCGGTGGCTTCTGTTCATGGCCCTCAGAGTGGATAAGACGCCAGGCATCCTGTTCCACCTACGCCTCTCACTATCCCCACTCCCTGCCCCACAGTCTTGGAGCCTATGGCCCGGAACTTGTGTGGTGTGTGCTCAGGCTCAGGCCTATGACATACTATAGCCTGGGGGTAAGGTCACAAGTGACAACCTCAGGAATGAGAACATAGAGCAGATAAGTCACACACTGTCCTAGGAAATCATCTAGTTTCCTTCCCCATAGTATAAGCGAAAAATTGCTCCCTAAACCTGGATATTTGGGGAACTGCAAGTGAATCTGGGTGTAGAGCACTTGTTTAGCTGTCATAAAGTCCTGGGGTCCATCCCCAGCAGTGCAAAAAACAAGATGGAAAGAGAGCCAGTCTGTGGAGCTTGGGATGTCCCAATAGATTTGAAATTAAACAATGCCCTGCTATGACATCTATGGGACAAAGACAGCTTGAGAAAAAGGAACTGTTTTGGCTTCATGGAAAGTGGCAGGACAGCACCTGTGGGCCTGAAAGTCGCAGCTGCCCCAAAGGAGCAGTTGTAGTACCCAGTGATGAAATCAGGAAATATAATTTTGGGTGTCGGCAGCCAGTACAGTCTTAGGCACCAAGCCAGCTCCCTCCATGGTACACTGAAGCATTTTGTCCAGAGTTCGGGAACACTAGTTTGGGAAGCCACATCAGGATCTGCTTCACTTTGGGCCTTGGTCAGCTCAGGCTGCCACAGCAGACTACCAGAGACAGGCAGGTTACATGAAGGCATGTATTTTCTCACAGCTCCAGAAGCTTGAAGTCTAAGATCAAGGGCAGCAAATTCAGTGTCTGGTAGGGGTTCCTTCCTGGCTTCTGGTTAGCACTTTCTTACTATGGGTTCCTAGAAAGTTCTCTGGTATCTCCTCTTATAATGGCACAAATCTGGTGGGATCAAGGCTTCAACCAAATGACTTTATTTGCCCTCTATTATCTGCCTCCTCCAAATACTTCCAAATTGATGGTTAGGGCTTACGACTAGGGGATAAGGAGGTACCACTTAGGTTTATAACACTATGAATTTTGTTTCTTTATCCTCTTGGTATGTCCTCTACCAAGCTGGCCGCAGAGGCCACTTCGACTATGGCAGTTGCTGGCCTCTGACATTAATCATGAGAGACCACTTAGTTTTTCCATCTCATTTTCAAGAAATCTCTTCCTTTCCATCAGTGCACCTCCTTCCTGTTATACTTCTGCTGGAGAGCCCAATGGAGTCCCTTCATGCTCTGCAGTCTAGACTCCATATACTCCACTCTGCCCTATCTATGCCAGCCTCTAGTTAACCTTTGAACTCCTTGATGTAATAGCCACTGCAGTTCTTCCGGGGTGCATGCTGCCTGCCTGTAGCTCAGAGTATTTTTAATTATAAAAATAATGCACATTCAAAGTGACAAAACTTGGAAAAAAGGAATCTCTATAAAGAACCTTAAAGCCACTCCTCTCATGCTGACAGGAACCTAAGAGGGACAGAATGACCTGCCATCCTCCACCCAGACAGTTCCTTCTTGTCACCTTTTCCTCCCTAGAAGGGTGATGTGGGATTTCCCTCTGTATGTTGTGATTACCATTGATTAATAAAGAAAACTGCTTTGGACCTATATAGCAGGGCAGAACTTACTTAGGCACGGAAAGCTAGGCTGAATGCTGGGAGAAAGGAAGTGGGGTCAGAGAAAAGCCACATAGCCCAGCTGGAGCCAGACAGAACTTTACCCAGTAAGCCACAGCCACGTGGCGATACACAGATTAATAGAAATGGGTTAAATTAAGATGTAAGAGTTAGCCAATAAGAGGCTAGAGCTAATGGGCCAAGCAGTGATTTAATTAATATGGTTTCTGTGTGATTATTTCGGGGCTAAGTGGCCAAGAACTAATTAGTGGTCTCCTCCAACAAAAGCCCCTGATCACAAGCCCTTTTCTAAGTACTTTCTCCAGGAAATGCCAAGAATAAGCTTCCATGGAGCTCAATCTCAGAGAACATGGCAGCCAACTTTTCTTCCAGTAACCATGAAGGCCAGCAATGTGGAGTGTTATCAGCTAGGAAGCTCACCTGAGTCCCCGTGTGCAGTTTCTCTTTGAGGTCAATCACATGTGTAGAGTGGGTATTATACTGTACTGAGATGGCTGGCTGCAGTATCCACACCCTCTGTGCCCCATAAGAAATATATACACTAGCAGGTGTCCCAAAGCCCCCAAATGAGCCCATTCTTCTCAGGAAGCATGCCCCAGGCACTTCAAGATCCTTCTCAGAAGTGGTCAGAGGCCAGCACTGTCTTCCTCACATGGTACTCTATACATTGGCCTCTCTGCTCCATGGTCCTGGATGAGACTCAGTAGATCAGGAGTCTTCTACAAGAAAGCTGCACTTTAGGGTCTACCAGGCCCCAAGTGGGCTTTATCTCTGAGAGGTGGGGCCTTTGGTTTATTCCTGGTCACGGAAGAGCCTGCTCTCATGGCCACCTCTGTTTGCTGCCCTTTGACTCTGGCTTTCCCAGGTCATTGCCACCATCCCCACCAGCCAGCTCAAGTGCCTGAAGGAAGCAGGGCATGGGCCTGGGAAGGACGAGATGACTGATGAGGAGCTGGCCGAGGGGGAGGAGGAAATCGACCATGCTGAGCGAGAGCTCCGCAGGGGCCAGATCCTCTGGTTTCGGGGCCTCAACCGGATCCAGACACAGGTAAGCTGCTGTTCCACATGACTCCTATTTTGCTGCCTTAAAAAGCAGGCAAGAAGCAGAAACTGGGCATACAGAATCCCAAAGCCAGCAGGGAACTCCCTGGATCTGGCCCCCAAGTATGCAGAGGCAGTGGCTAGTTCCCTTTCTACCACACAGAGGTGCCCACCACTGCTGGCCATTTAGCTCACATCTCCCTGTCACGTCCCTCAGTGCCCAGGTAGCTACTCTCCTAGATGGGTATGAATATGTGCTCAGGGCTCTCTCCGAGGCACAAACCAGCACTGTCTGCTTTCCTTGACAGGGCTACTTAGGCAATGGGCAAGTTGCATTTGAGTGTGGGAGAAAAGACTCCATTTCAAGGAGTCTTCGACTAGTTCTCTGATCACTAAAGTCTTCTGTAATCACTGTGCAAAAGCTTCTCTAGGAAGTGGACTCTGCCACCAAGCTAGTTCAAATCTCAATAGGCTAGGCTGGTCAAGGCTAAAGCCATCAGCTAAGTTCCCAAAAACATCAGACTGCCAACAAAAGGCAGTAGTTAAGGCTTTTAAAAAAAATCTCAGGTGCCAGGCTACCCTGATCTCTGCCACCAATTCCTTTTTGGCCAGCTTTCTTACTAGAAGGTTCCATACTTGCTGCCTATTTCTATCTTCCCCTCACACTCTGCCCACCACTCCCACTATGGCTCTCACCACTGTCTGCAAGGCCTTCTTCCACTCCATGCTTTCCAGTTGCCCTCTGGAAGTGTTGCTGGCCCTGCTCATCCTGACAGCTTGCTGTTCCTTCTGAATTTCCATCTCCTCTCTGTCTTTATATTCCTGGTATCTCCACCTCCCACTCCAACCCTGATCTCTCATGCTGAAAAGCCCTGGGAGAACCTGCTAGGGAACTAGCTGAGGCCAAACATTGCACCAGGCCAGCCGGCCTCCTCACACTGCAGCCTCCGGGACTGACCTGGAGGCGATTCCCCATGGCCTAGCTGGTATCCTCTAAATTACCATGGCACTGTTAATCATTGCCTGTTCCCATCCAAGGCCTTGGCTACCGTCTCTCTGATGCCAGTCTCACTGCCTCGGCTGTAGGTACAATCACTTTTCCTCTCTGGAAACTAATTGGCTAAGGCAGAATCAGCTGGGTAGATTCTCCTTGAGCCTGTCTGACAACTTACGCACTGGGACAGGACATGATTCCACACCCCTCCCCATGTATTTTTTCAGCTGCCTTGACACACGTGGCCCAGAACAGGCTATCCTCTGGACTCTAAGGTACACATAGCTACTCCAGCACCCCTAGTGATCTAATGGTGTCCATCCTGAGAATGCCCCCTCTTTTCCCTTCTAGGCTCTGTGGGTATACCTGCCACTGGCAAGGCACCAGGGTCATTCCTTGCCTTCCATCTGTCTTTGTTTATGCCTGCCCCTCTGCCACCACCATAGGACCTATGGAGCTTATCTCCATTATCCCCAGGATGAAGTTTCAGCTTCTGACTGTAGTCTTCAAGCTCTAGCTTCTTGGCATCACCGCACTCCTCCCCTACATATCCCGATGACTCTGTGCTGCTTTTCCAGATGTGCACCCTGCCCACCCATACTGCTGTGCCTCCCTGCTTGCTGCCGTGTACCCTCAGGGCTCTTTTTCCATGCTATAAAAGCCTACTTAAAGGTTGCCAAGTCCATGCTTTCTTCTCACATACTACCCCCTACCTCTATGGGCCATCTGTGTGACTGAGGCCAGCACACTGAATCTGAGAATACCACAATTCCGTGAGGGAACTACTTAGAGAGCAGGATCCTTTAAGACTGGGCGAGGTGGTACCAAAGAAGTCCAAGTTAAAGACATTCCTCAAGGACCAAGCATCCCAAGAACCTACTCCAGTGTGTCCGGATTCATATCTAAGCCATGCTACCCTAGCAATGATTCAGATGGATCCTGGGAAAATGGGAACCACCATTAGATCCCTAGCCCAAGCCCCCTCTCCCCACGGGGTGAGACAGTGCTTTCAATACAGTGCCCAGGACAAGCATGGCTGCGACCTAAGTAGCTTTGACTTGTTTCCTGTAATAAATGTTTACTCACTAGCATGAATGTATAGCAAATGTCAGAAAACAGCCCTCATATCTTCCCAATGTGCATGTGGCCACCTAACTGTGCCTTCCAGGAGACTGTGACTGTGACCACCCCCAGTAACCCATCCTTTTCTGATTCAGGGCAGATCTTATCTGCCATGCTCCAGTTCTGATGCAAAGCACAGAAATAGAGTACAGCAATGACCCAACTCCACATCAGCCTCTTTTATTTCTGTTATGTAATTCCAGATAAAGTTAGCATCTCTATCTGCTTAAGCAACCCTACCCCAACCTAGAGTGTCAATGGTAGCCTGGCCACCAATCTATGTTGTATCTTTGTGTGTCTGTAAACTTCTGGGCCTGCCACTGCTGCCCATCCACTTGGAGTCTTGGTGTTCCATGTCATTCTAACTGTTCCATGCCCATGTAGATGCTTTGCAGCAAGGAGATGGGACCCCAGGGAAGGAGGGAGTGGTACAAAATCAGCCAATGAGAGCCAAGGCTGGTACCAGTTCCTCAAGCACACTTCTTGGCCCTCAGTAAAGCCACACCGATTCCCCCATGGGATCTCAACTTCCATGGCTTTTCCAAGTGGGGCTTTATCATTTCAGATTCGTCATGACTCTCAAGAACACTGAACCGGTCACTTTAGCTCAACCTGTTCTATTTGATTCGGAAAACCCGCTTTAAAAAAAAAAAAAAACTAAAGCCTGTGGAAGGCTTTTCAGGTTGTATGTGTTTCCTAGGCAACTGGCCCCAGATTTCTGGATCTTGTGAACCACAAAATTGCTCCCCGGATTTCGGAGGCCTGCACACCATTTTCTGTTGCAAAGTAACTTGATGCCCGCTCTCACGCGTGTTCTATACTAATGTATCCATGCACCAGATGCTAGGGTGCTGCTCCACAATAAAAGAGAGTGCCTCAAACCTGGATCATGTAGCTTTTTGGATGTTCATGACGTGGTCTGTCTTTTTTGCATTCCATTACAAATTGATGAGATTCTTTACCAATGGCTGAGCCCTTGTTCCTGGCCAGCTCTGGGGCCTCTGGTAGGGGGAGGGTGGTGACGGTGATACTTTCATAGATATGGTTATCCTGCGGGGACATCACAGAAGATATCATGGAGACTGATGCCAAACTGAGGCAGCAAAGGCAGCTTTCCCATCCCTTGTCTTTTCCATCGCCTAGAAATCATGCGGTCCAAAGAAGCAACGCCACACCCCAGAGTCTGCAACACCACCACATCCACACATCTTCCTTACACGAAATACCCAACCATGTGTACAACATATTCCTCACAGATGCACTCACGGCCTCAAAGCCTGCCTTCTCTCGAGGAAAGGAGTGAGGAAGTGGGTCATACTGGGTGAAAAGCAGCCCTGGGCAGGTTAAATGGAAGGATGGCAAGTCTTTCCTCAGGGGGGCTGAGGTTGAAAGACATTTTGTTTGGAGGAAGGTGTCAACAGTGAAGCTGCTTCTTTTGGAGAAGCCCTGTCAGAAAGCCAGAGGAGACTGGAGGCCAGGGAGTTCCCACTGCAGGGCTTGAGATGCCAGACAGTAACGGGTCTTTGGAGTCCAGAAATGCATGTTGGCTTGTCTGCTCGTTTTATTCAATGAACTGCATGATACTTTCCAGAAGTTTGATCCACCATCAAAGCTTCTCTCCACACTGAGGCCGTTCTCCAGGAGAAGGCTGCCAGTGTGCCTTGCCTCTGGCCTCCCTGAGTCTAGGCATGTGGTCTCCCAGTGTCACAACTGGATATGGTGGCTCGGCTACAGTTCCTTCAGACCCTACTTCCTGTATTTGTCACAGCGTCGTAGTCAGAGACAGAGTCAGAAAATCCAAAGACAATGAGTCAGGAGGCTTATAGCAGGATTTATTCACAGGGCTCTCCTATGGGTCTCATCTTCCCCTTCATCTTCTAGAAAGCGCAAAGGGTTGTCCCCCAGTCCTCCCAGCCTCCATGCATGGGGGCTGTAGGAAAAGTTCTGACAAAACAAAGCCTCTGCTCTTGGAAGCCCCTCTTCTACCTAAGTCTATATTCTGCTGAAATCCGAGTGATTATCAACCCCCCGCCACAGTGGAGCAGGTCAGAACAAGAGACCCTCTGCTAAGAGGACCATGAACAAGGGCAGTGATTTCTCAGGGATCCAGGCAAGAGCCTCCAGCCTACAAACTGCTGGAGAATGCTTCCACCTTCTAATAAGAGCATGTCATATCCCTCAGGTGTGTTGGGGCGGAAAAAAAGTGTTGAGAACTACCGAAGTAGGATAAGGAAGTGTTGCCAGACACAGGTACTTATTGACGAGCGGCTCTCGATGAGCGTATCGTGAACGCAAGTGACTACCTACAAAATGTTTGCAGTGTGCTTCCACCGGTGACCTTTCCTTCCCACACTCCTGACCACTAGCCATTTGCCCAGCAAAACCCTCTCTCAGTCATGGCTTTGTCAAAAGCATTGTCAGCTTCCACGAATGGGGCTGACCTAGCTGAGGCTTTGCTGGCCCCATATGTCCCCAGTGTGGCCCCTGCCCTCACCCAGCCCCACCCTGTGTGGTAGCCTGGACCTCCATGCAAGCCAACTTTTATCTCATTTTCTCTCCCACAGATGGAGGTAGTGAGTACCTTCAAGAGAAGCGGGTCATTTCAGGGTGCTGTGCGCCGGCGGTCTTCAGTCCTCAGCCAGCTCCATGACGTAACCAATCTTTCTACCCCTACTCACGTAACTCTCTCTGCCGCCAAGCCCACCAGCGCTGCTGGCAGTGAGTCTTGACTTCCCTTTTCTCTCATAAATGGCACCTGGGGGAAGATAAAGCGTCCCTGACTCTTCCTTCTCTTTTCCAGTCTTGCATTTCTGCTCACCGTGGCTTTTCTGTTCCTTCTTTACTGCCCTGTCCAGTCCTTCCCGCGACGGTGTCTCTCCAAAGCCATATTCTCTTTATGAAATGACCCCACAGCACTGCCGGGCCTTTCGTCCTTTGCTTTGTTTGGGTTTTGGTTTGCATTTAGTACCCCTGCTACCATTGGTTTTCTTTTCTTGGATTTGTCTGCATGTACCCATGGTTCTTCATGAACTCAGGCTTCTTCCAGTGGTTTCTGCTGTCAGGCTGGGGACTTGCTCCATGTTCTGGGGTGAGTGTCAGGAAAGCATGTGGCCCATGGCTACCCTTCTGGGGTAGGTAAAAGCCCACAGTTTGGTATCATTTGCAGCAGAAGAATCCAGCCTATTTCCCTGGAGAAGAAAGTAACAATTTCCAGCATTCTCCTTGAGGTGGCTTCCAAAGGATGCCCCTGTCTCCAGTCCCCAGGTGGCTCAGTGGTGACCGAGAGTGCCTCTGTTGAGCAATTCGTGCCTGCCCTGAAGGCCGTGCCCTGAGTCAGGATCTGTTAGAGGAGCTCTGATAACAGGAGCTCAGAGGCCAGACAGGTGCTGTTTTGTGTGTTCCCAGGCATCTTGCTCTTTCCAAACAGGCCTCAGTACTGGAGGATCTGAATCCAGTCTTGTGCAATCCTCTCTACTCCTTCCTCAGAGAAGCCAGGGCATTTCAATGACAAGTTCCCACAATGCAATTCACATTTTGAAGAGAACCCTGGGTTGACCTGACTAGATAGAAGCTTCCATAATTGCTCACATCTTTTTATAAAGACAAGGAAGAGACCACTAAACTGCTGAACCTGTCACCCTACAGTGCCCTAGCAGGAGAGAATGCAGGCAACTACATGGAGGCGGGGTCACTCCTCGAAGGTTGTCTACTTTTGGTAACAAAGTCGGGAGGTTCCAAAAAGTGAACAGTAAACCTTCGAGTATGAGTCCAGGGCCCCTGCTGGGACGGTTTGATGCTAAGTCTTTCCTTTCCTTCCAGTGAGCCCCCTGCAGCTCCCACCAGACGGAAAGCCTTAACTACCTCACCTTTTTCCCATCACAGACTCTTCAGGTTCCTTTCTGCTTGGTTTCTTTCTGTTTCTTTCTTTCATTTATTTTTTTTTTTAGGAACTGGTGAGAGGTCCCCAGTAGGAGGTGTCTCTCCTCTTCCTTAAGCTCTTCTTTTGGGCTGCTCTGTCTTTTACGGAAAGGATAAGTGTCCCCCCAGGAACAACACAGATGTATGTGCTCCACAACCACAGGCCACATGCACCTCCAGCTTGTACACCCCCTGGACCAGCCACCGAGGCCCCAGATATGGCCTGACACATGTCACTGTTGGTCTGGAAAGCAGCCAGTGCTCCTGGCATACCCAATGGGACCAAGAAAGATCTCAGGGCTACTTTAGATGCCAACAGGAGGCTCTCTACCAAATCAGTTAAGGACAGACTGGCCCATGGCCTTCCAGCACATGTTGGCCATGCCCACAAGAACCTCCTACACCAATGCCCAGGTGGGCAGCACTAGCTTCCTTCCTCTACACAATATGAAGAGTGGATGTAGGACACACATAGATCTGCTCAGCCCTTCTCTTCCCGCTGACTTCTTTCTTCACTTTCCACCTGTCTGCCTACCCACCTGTCTGTCTGTCTGTGCATCTGTCTACCTGTCCACCTATTGCCTCAGGGGAAGAGCAGTTGGCAAGATTCTTCTATGTATGACACCCCAAGCCTCTTCCACAACTCTGGTCTTCGCCCTCACTGGAGCCAGTCAGCCTCAGAGGCCCTGCCTCACCCGTCTCCACTACCTAGGGTGAGGCCTACTGCCTCTTCAGCCCCCATTTCTCCTATTTCCTCCTTAAATGTGGTCTTTATTTTCTTCCTTGGCCCATAGTACCTTGCTTCTTTCCCTCCTTCCCTCCATGGTCATCTTCCGGCCTTCGGATTCTACCACTGCCTGATAAGCACAGCAGGAGAGACACTCCCTTCCTGCTGATCATGAGCCATTCCAGGGAAACCTAAGCAGAGGTGAGAGCTCAGTGGCAGGATCTTCTAAGGAGGGAGCTGGCAACTCCAAACAGGACATGGTTTGCTTCTGGAAGCCACTGGTTCAAATTTATATTTGCCCCACGTCAGTTCCAGCTAGAGCTCAGAGCCTCACTTCTGAATTCTGAGGGCTTTCACAAATCCCGCACCCAACACCCTTACAAACTAGGAGAGGACCCTACTCAGGACCCCATAGGCAGGCAGGCCTGGCAGCGTGGCCACTAGCTCACCTTCCCCCTTTCCTTGACACTCTTCAGAGGACCAAATCTGCTTGAAAGTAAAGCAGGGTAAAGGTCATGATGGAGCTCCCCTGAACAACGTGCAACATTGGGCAAGGTGTTTTGACCACAGCTGCCCCAGCTGTCCTGACTAGCCCTAGAATTTCCCCATATATGAGGAATTTTCCATCCTCTTCACTTGCTCTAGGCTGTATTGCCTTTCACCCCTCAGAGTCCAGAGGCCTGTGACTCTTGGGTACTGGATAAGCTTCCTGTTGAAAGGTAATCCCACTAAGAGCCTCGGGCTTTTCGTGTGCGCTGGGGCCAATTCAAGAGTGGCCAGATGGAGAAGTGACCAGAATCCTTTGGGCTCAATATGCTCTTCTCATCTTTTCTAATGTCTCACTCTATGTGTGTTCTCTCTCTCTGTCTCTGTCTGTCTGTCTCTCTGTCTGTCTCTCTCTGTGTCTGTCTGTCTGTCTGTCTTTCCCACTGCTGCTTCTGGCCACAAGAGTCTCTCCACATCCCAACATTCCCCTTGTACAGTCTGAGCTGGCCATGACCTCCTCACTCCTAACTCCAGAATGGCCTGTGCAACTTCTACCCTACTCAGCTATTTTTCCTCCCTTGCCTGGCCTCAAGGCCGTCCCTATCACAGCCATTTCATTCATAATCCTCTGGGTCCAGGGCGTATTGTCTTCCCCCTCATGGCTGCTACCTCATTTCTTGTGACCTGGGCCATTATCTGGTCAGCCTGTCTGGGATGGCTCAGGAAACAATGAGGCTGTGAAATCCTGTTTGCTGTGGGTTTTCATCATGCCCCTTCTCACACCAGCCACACACTCACACACTAAGGCTGCAGAACTTCATTCTCCTAATGAATGTCAAGACCCTCAAAAGGGTAGTCAGAGAGGGGTCTATGCAGTCATCCAGCTTTGCTAGCAAGCAACAAAAACAAGGCGCTAAGTATCTCCCTTCTAGTGGGAACAGAAGGAGCATGATCTTTGGAAATGCAAGCCTGGATCCTGGCATCACTGAAGCCTCTCTGTGGGCTCCAATGCCCAAGAGTTCTTTTGTGTCTCTTTCCCATGGGAACACAGAGACATACCTTTGACCCTCCTCTGCCAAATACCTCTTTTCCCCATCAGCTCACCCTGGGGACCCTCTCATTCCAACCAGCAGCCAATTCTAGCCCATCCTTCGGGTAGCAGCACTGGGCCTCTATACTCGAATGTTTACTGTCTCAGTACTTTGAGATAAGATACCTTCTGACGCAGGACAGCAAAGATTTGAGCACCATATCGCCAGAGGGGCTTCTTCCAGGTTCTGATGAAGAATTTGGAAACCGATAATAGCAGTTGCTTCATTTTAAATGGTTTTCGCAACATGGAAACCTTTCACCCATTGGGGGAAGGGAGCTAAAACCAGCCAGGTAAGCCCCTGCAGCTTTGCTTTGACATAAACTTCCAGAGCCCAGGAAGGCATGCTTTTCACTCTCACACACCCAACAAGGAAGGAGCTGGCAAATCGTTTTAAGTTTGCATCATTGTCAAGAAATGAATTAATGCTGAGCCAAATCACCCCACTTACGTTTTCTGGGAAAGTTTATTGGCATTTTTTGTAGCTTTTTGATAGTGTGCACACTGGATCCACACTAGGAAAGGTATCAATTAGTTCTCTAGTTGGGGTCCTGTCCTACTCTTTCTGAAAATAGAGGCTAAACCCCATGGAGAACAAGCTTCCAGAAAATTACTGAAGCACACGACAAAATGCAGCATAGACATAGGCCTGGCCCAGGAAATCGGGGTTCTGAGGCCCTGTAGGTAGGTGCTGTGAGGACTTCCACATGGCCAGCAGCTGGGAGCTTGTAGAATTTCTTCTAGCCCCACCATCTCTGCCCACCCATACTCCACTCTGCCACCATAGCTGCCCTTGGCTACTGAAAGGGCAAGGCAATAGGTAGGGCTTCCTCCTGTGTTTTCTGTGGCCTGACCATGTGTTTGGGCCAGGCTGCTGCTGTCAGGAGCCAGGCTAGTTCTCATGTCCTGGGCAGTTAGTGCAGAACAGTTAAAGGGACTTAAAAAACTAGCCAGTTTCTCCTCAGTTTCCACACTTACTGGGCCAGAATGTCAGGGCACCTGACAGGTCCCTTTTCTCAAGGAGGTATTGGACCAGTGGTTGTAAAGAGCAATGAAAGGTGAGGAATGAGTCAGACAGAAGTGTGTGGACCCCATGAGCCTTAGCAGCTGAGACCAAGCAGAAAACATGGGCAAGCCTCCTGGGGACCCTACAGCCTCTGGCAGCAGTGGCCAGGTTGAAATTCTCTCTGGCCAAAAAATTGGAAAGAAGGGGAGGAAAGGTGTGTCAGGCATTTTCTACTGTTGCTTTCGCCATTATGATTCAGGAGCCTTTGCTTTTTTTTTTCCTCTCCGTTTTTTTTTTTTTTTCATTCTTTTTACTGGGATGAGCCTTCCCTCAAGTCCCTCACTTAGTTCCCAGCTTTTACACTCTTGCTCCACCCTACACCCACAGCCTACCCTCCACATGGAAACCCCCAACACAGACACACACATACACACACACACACAGAGACATC